TGGTGGTGGTGATGATGATGATGATGATGCTGATGCTGGTGCTGGTGATGGTGATGATGATGATGATGATGATGATGCTGCTGCTGCTGCTGGTCATGGTGGGTCTTTGTTAAATGTTGTGATAAAAGCCCTTCCCACATCAAACTACACTCCCTGGCACAATCATGGAAGTGGAAAATGGCCCCTTTGATGACCACCTTCCTCTACAAACAGGTCCACTTCCATGAATATTTTGGGAGTGCATATATTTCAACCAACACCGATCAATATCTATGAGGCACAACCACACAAAAGATTGACGATCGACGATTGCCCTCTTAGTTACCTATTCTATTCTTGAGGAAACACCTGCCACTTGAAGCAGCAAAAGGGTATGGCCAGGCAGCCAGGATATCTGTCAATCCTTTCAGCCACTCTATCTAGCACCTCACTCCCCCAAACACATCCACATACACTCCCTGAACTCACTAATCATTGAAGTGGAAAACAACAAAACAACACCTGCTGCCTCACCTGCTTGGTGTTCGGAAAAGGGTCATCCAAGGAGCCATGCCATCCACAATTAAATTGTATTATATACCAATATTGAATATACCAGGACCCTCTAAGGGGTGCCCTGTCTGGAAGCCTATAGGTAGTGTGGGGTAGTCCAGCCAGGACACCCCGACAGGAGGGTCCTGGTATACCAATATGTTTCAGTGCAAGAAGCGCTGGTCCTTCCAGCTGTTTTGGGTCCAGCTGCGCCTGGCGATGGCTTCTCGGCCTGGCGACGACCACGAGTTTCGTGGCGACGCCGAGTCCGACGACGTCGTCCCTGTCGTGAAGGACAAGACGAGTGGAGCACGGGCGTCTTCACGGCCAAGCGGTTTTCTTGGAGGCCAGAAATGCCATGAATTACACTTCCCTATTTTAACGTAGAACCTGAGAACTCAAAAGTGTGCACTAACACCACCTCAAACCACTATGTTAAAATAGCGAAGAGTACTTGGTCTTCACGTGGTGTGGAATTCCAAAGCCGGTGCTTCGAACCGAAGGCACCTCGTTTCGTGTGTCTACGGGGTGTCCGCGAAGTTGAGGCTGATGTGAAGAACACAAATGGCGCCACAAGAAGCATCCTGTCCTGAAGGAGCCGCAGCTCAGGCTTGGCCGGACCTTGGCAGCTGCAACGGAGTTGTGGAGTTGGTCGCAGCTCAGACATCTTCCCCACCCTTGCGCGACTCACCCGAGAGTGGTGCAAGCCTCTCAAGCAAGTGGTGAGTGAATTAATTAATTTCATGTGAATTCTGACCTTCGCTCCCTTGGCATCTGTGTTTTCATCCCACATTCCTGCCTGGCCAAGCTCGATTGCTTCCCGAGGCTCTGACTCTGCACCGGTGATGGCAGCACCTCGAAATGTCCGTGGTTCGGGGCGCCGACAACTAGGGGCCCGTTGTATGGCTCTACGCGGCTGCGATCTGAGAGAGAGAGAGAGAAAAGAAGAGATTGGAAGAGGCAGCTGAACAAGTTAGTTCCAGAGAAGAGTTTGAGATCCATATGGCTGTGAGTCAAAACCGCGACACCCAGGTTCACCACCAGAAAGAACAGAAATAGAGGTCAACGTACCCTGGTTCGGGGGTCCAGCCATATTAACTGTATGAGTCTATGACTCATACTGTCT